TGCGAAGATCGATCAATCCTTCCATTCATTCCAGGCTCTGCGATCAGCCAAATATCATTATAAGGACATTGCAAATATTCATATAAAGACCGTTTATTAAGATTTATGTTTTCCCTCCAATCCCTCAGAATACAAAACCCGACAAGATCTAGTTATTAGTTTGTTGATTTAGTTGTAGAGAAGAGATCAATGAAAAGTCTACAGAACAAGAAAACACTTCCTGCACTAGAAACATCGACACCGAGATCTCCGGATACATTTCTATGGACTTCTCGTCAGACAAACATTACTGGCTGATGGAGACAACGCCCACATCTGTGATTGGCTCAGATTTCAAATCGCTGTCATCACATTCTGCCCGCCGGGATTGTGTAGATCGTTCCAGACAAATATTCCGCCCGATTATACCGCCAAATCCGACCTGAGAACTGATCAGATGAGACATTTATCCGAGAAGTATTATCATCGCTTTCATCCCAAGTAGATGTATTGATGAGTCTGGAGATGGATTTCCATATTTACCGAATCATGTAACACATTGTGAATACAAGTATTGTAGATTCCATGATCACATCTGTATACGATCATGTCACTGACCGATATTTATGTGTCCCTCCTTCAGACATGTAGCAGTTACAGACCCCCCCCCCCCCCCCATATCACATCCAGAATATTCATAAAAACAAATGTGAAATGACTGGTAGAAATAAGGAGACTGCCAGAGAAATCCGGACAATGTATCCAGAGAGAACATATGACATGTCTGAGGAACCAAATCGGTTTCCTCCTCCAAATCAGTCACTAAAAATCATCCAAATATTTACAAGGGTCTAAATCAATGAAATTCTCTGCAGAGGAATGAATGCCTGTGACCCCGCCCCTTTCCATCAGTCTCCCTTCAGGTTCGCCCGGAATTATAAACAGGAACGAGGGGCATCGGTATAAATGTTTGTGTTTATTTCCAAGTCATATTTATCAATATTAAATTGCTGTTAACAATAGTAACTGGTGATGATGGTTTGTGTTCTGAAATGTGAAAGATGAATGTTTCTGTGTAATCTCCGAGGAAGAAATAGAAAACCATTGAGAAGAATGAAGAGATTTCTCTCCTGGAGATGGATTTATAATATTTGAAAACCGCAGAATGTGTATAATGGTTACAAATTAATACAATTTTGTGTAAAGAATGGGTGTGACTCCGCCTCTTCCCAGGAAGGTTCCCATCAGGTCCACTCAGGCTGTATAAAAGGAAGGCGGGCCCAGCCCAGAGCTCAGTCTGTGTTTGCAGCAGAGAAGAATCGTCATGTCTGGTCGCGGTAAAGGAGGGAAGGGTCTGGGGAAAGGCGGCGCCAAGCGCCACAGGAAGGTGCTCCGGGACAACATCCAGGGCATCACCAAACCCGCCATCCGACGTTTGGCCCGCAGAGGGGGAGTCAAGCGCATCTCCGGCCTCATCTATGAGGAGACCCGCGGAGTGCTGAAAGTCTTCCTGGAGAATGTCATCCGCGATGCCGTCACCTACACCGAGCACGCCAAGAGGAAGACCGTCACCGCCATGGATGTCGTCTATGCTCTCAAACGACAGGGACGCACCCTCTACGGATTCGGAGGATAAATCCTCATAACCCCCCCCCCCCCGGCATCTCGTCCAAGGCCATGAGCATCATGAACTCCTTCGTCAATGACATCTTCGAGCGCATCGCCGGCGAAGCTTCCCGCCTGGCTCATTACAACAAGCGCTCCACCATCACCTCCCGGGAGATCCAGACCGCCGTCCGCCTCCTCCTGCCTGGAGAGCTGGCCAAGCACGCCGTCTCCGAGGGCACCAAGGTCGTCACTAAGTACACCAGCGCCAAGTAACCGCCCACCATTCCAATCACTGAGCTGTCATCACATTGTGTTGCCGCTAGAGGTCCCCCACACGTCACACTTACACTGTACATTCGTTCTAGGGACGGACTAACCTGCACATTGGGGGGGATGGGAGGATTGGAACATATTTTGGATAAGAAAATGCATATAATTTTTTTTTTTCTACATGAGATTTATGGGTGCATTTTTGTGGATACACATGCCAAGGATCATTTTTCATTTATTTCTGAAAAGATTATGGCTATTGATTTTGAAAATGGGGATTATGTGTGGAATGTTAGGGTTAAACATGCCTAGGGACATATTTGACCCCATTCTGATGTAAGAATAGCATTTTTTCAACATCGGGATGATGGGTGGATGATTGCAGATACACATGTCAAGGACCTTATTTGAATTGTTTCTTAAAATATGGGTATAGTTATTTTTTTATGTGGGAATTATGGGTGGAATATCATGGTTAAAACATGCCTAGGAAACCATTTGACCCCATTCTGATAAGAATAGCTTTTTTTCAACATGGGGATTATGGGTGGATTATTGTTTAACATGCCTAGGTGCACATTTGACCTCTTATCACAAATATGAGAATATTTATTTTTCTACATGGGGATTATGGTGGATACACATACAAAAGAACCATGTTTGACCTATTTCTGAAAAGGTTATGAGCATAATTATTTTTCTATATGAGGATTATGGGTGTAATATATTGGTAAACATGACAGAACACACATTTGCAAAAGGGATAACGGAGTTCCAAATGGGCAGGGGTAAGGGTAGTCCAGTAGGCACTAAGGGCAAACTGTGTAGGAGCGAAGCATAACTCCACAGAAGGGAAACCAAGAAACACAGCACCTCTAAGTGTGTACTGTGAAGATACTTAATAGAAAGAAAAGCAGTATCCATACCTGGGAATACAATTTACGCCCTCAACTAACCAACTATATGAAGCTAACTATAAACCTCTACTTGACTCCATTCCACGAGAGCTCAAACAACTCCATACTCCCACATTATCGACAATGGGTAAAATAGCATCTTTAATCTTTAAAAAATGTGCATATTACCTAAAATACTGTATATTTTCCGTACCCTTCCTATTCCAGTTCCTAATACCTTTTTTAATAAACTCCAAGCGATACTAAATAAATTTATGTGGAAAAACAAAAAGCCTAGATGCACGACAAATCTACTAATAAGACCTTCCTCCAGGGGCGGAGCAGGCCATCCTCATTTAAAATCTTACTACAACGCTGTGCTCCTAGACCAGCTCTTCTTTTGGTGGCATCCTACAAAAGACAAACTGTGGACTCACTTAGAAATTCCGTCACATCTCCCATATACTCCTGATAATCTATTATTCCTCCCTCTAAATAGCCAAACTCTTTCATTATCTAAACACCCATGTATAAAAGCTTCTTTACAAGCCTGGTTTGACTTCTTGTCCTCTCATTACCCAAGCAATGAAACAACAAAAATTCCTACTACAATCTCTACATTGCACCTCATCATCCCCTCACTAAACCTCACACAATGGGAAAATCAAGGTATAACCCGTATCCGTGACTTATATACAGTTCATAAGCTAAAATCTTTTGTTACCCTCCAAACACAGTTTCACCTCCCTGACAATGAACAATTCTCATACATGAGAATCGCCCACGCCTTGCATACAATGGCTATATCTCAAGAACGAATAATTCCCTCCAGAGCACACCTCTTTTTTCAGAGATCACATTACCCCAAAAAGGGAATCTCAACCTTCTACTCCATTATGAATGACTCTCAGTTTAATATTCACACTGCTTCCCTGATTAACTGGGAAAAAATATTCCGTCAATCAGTCTCTCCTTGCACTTGGTCGAAAACCTTCAATACCACATACAAGGCATCCAAATGTAACTCCTATTGGGAAGCATACATGAAAATCTTACATCAGTGGTATCTAACGCCTGTTAAGCTCAATCTCTATTACACACAACATTCGCCCAAGTGCTGGAGACACTGTGGAGAAATAGGAACACTCCTCCATATACTTTGGTCTTGTAAATCTCTCACATCGTATTGGAACAATGTATTTCAGCTGATCTCCACCATATCTACAGTTCCAACGACTCCAAACCCAGTTCTAGCTCTCCTTAATATAGGAATAGATAATTTTCCTGTGGACTCTCGTACTATCATAATTCATATACTAGCAATAGCAAAAAACAATATTACTAAATTGTGGAAATCTACCACATCCCCTTTGTTCTCAACCCTCATTATAGAACTTAATCTCCATTGTGAGATGGAAAAGAGAACAGCAATTCAAAATTTTTCATACCACAAATTCTGCCTTCAATGGTCTCGGTGGCTCCAAGACCCTAATTGCTCTGTTAAGTGACAACTACGACAATATACTACCATACTGTAACCAACTCATTGGACTGGTGCCCCCCCCCCCCCCTCTATCTACCTTCTAACCCTTCCCCCTCTACGGTTTATCACATATTCATCCACACTTTGTTCACAATCTTCTGAGCATACCTCTCAAGTATCCGAGGCCCTGCTACATCATTAACGGCTAAATAATGGAAAATTGTGTGTTTTCTCTAATAATTACCTGTTTTCTTGTTTATACATTTTCTTATTGTGAACGTTGATCGTTTTATATATCTGTAATATGTTGTGGTAAATTGTTGAAAATTTCTTCAATAAAAATATTTGAACAGAAAGAAAAGCAGTAACTCACATCTTAGAATTTAAAAAACAGGCTCATGGCTAAGAGGGTGAGACGTCTATAGCCAGATGTTGTGTGATTCCACCCATAATCCCCATATAGAAAAATAGCTATACCCATATTCTTAGGAGAAACATGGCAAATATAGGTGTTGACATGTGTATCTGCAACCATCCACCCATAATCCCCATGTAGAAAAATAATTATTCTCAATTTTTTGTTTTATATCACAAACTGGGTGGAATATTATGGCTATACATGCCTAGGAATACGTTTGACCCCTTTCTGACAAGAATAGATTTTTTTTTCTACATGGGGATTAAGGGTGAAATATTTTATTTAATTATTTTTTTAACAAATAATTTTTATTCATAGAATACAGAACATATAAACATCAATGACCTTTGCTTGTTATGAAGTCATGTAGTACACAATAACAAATGTTGGCTTCTGGAGAAACTCAATAGTACAATCAGATCAATGTTCTACATGAGTAATTCACAGATTTAAACGTTTATAAATGGCAAGTACAAACATCAAACATGACATAATAAAGCATGAATAGAAGAAGGAGATTTAGTAGAGAAAGAAAGAGAACAGCAGTCATAAGAACAGATCTAATTCCACAAGTGTAGTCAAGTATCCACCAGCATGATACGCACATCAAAAAGTAGAAAAGTGTTAATCACCCATTGGCCCTCTATATGTTTCTGAGAAAGTGAAAGCATACCGATTGGACCATAGTTTGTGGAATCTGGCAACCATGTCATCGGTCATAGTCAATATCATTTCCTACTCCTGAATGATGTTAACCTCCCTTATCCAGTCAGAATCGAGGGGGCATGAGAGGTCTTCCAATGCCTGGGGATTAGGGACTTGGCCGCATTCAAAAAGTGCCAAACCAAAGATTGCTTATACAACTTCAAAGAGTACTCAGAGATATGGAGGAGACAACATTTGGGGGTTAAGGGTAATACCGTCTCATTAATAAAGTAGTCAACCGAGAACATTGTCCCACAATGGCATAAGCCTTGGGCATTGCCAACAAATATGTAAGAGGGAGCCCTCGGCTGATTCACAGCACCAACATAGGCCTGACGTCTGGGGGAACCCCCTCTTTAAACTATCTGGTGTACCATAACATCTTGTTAACAATTTATAGGTTTCTTGAGTCCTTATGCTGATGGAGCATTTGTGAGAAAAAATGCAGGCTTTTCTTCATTGGAACATATGTATCTGCCATCCTGGAGGAGTTGGACTGCCTGTGCAACCTCTGTAGGGTCCAGGTATCGCTTCATGCCATGTCCTTATGTCAGTAGTGACACTGACCCTAGCCAAATGCAAAATTAGTGACAACAGAAAAGATCTCAGTAGCCTCCCACCTATAAAACCATTTCTGTTTTGGGGGTCGTCTCATTGTTGTCCATCTAGTGCACCTGTTAGTTTTATTATCACAAAAGCAGAAGAAACTGATTAACAATCCCCTTGGCTACTTAACAGACAGGATCAATATCCCAGGAGTTTAAATTACTTGAGGCTATACTCTGATTTTGAGCAGTGTATATAATTATACACTCACACACTATATTGCCGAAAGTATTGGAACACCCCTCCAAATCATTGGATTCAATCACCTCCATGGCCAAAGGTGTATAAATTCAAAACACCTAGGCATGCAGACTGCTTCTACAAACATTTGTGAATTATTATTATACAGGATTTATATAGAGCAGACACTTTCCTTAGCACTTTCAAATATAAAGGGAGACAATACAGCAATGTGACAGTT